TTGTATATTGCGAAATCACCGAAACGGTAGACGTGGCGTTTTTAACCGTTTTCTGCTATTGTCAGTGCGAAGTAGACATCATTATATTCAGAGTCAGTGTTCGTTGCCTGAAACCAATTTCGGCTGTTTGTCTTTGTTCCAGCAATCCTCAGATGAAAGATGCTGGAATTGGATTAGCTTTCGATTTAGACAATTATTAAGTTGGTTGAAGTAAAAAGGCCTCCTGTTTGTGTTTAGGTTCTTCGTTCCTCCATTATGGATCCGGAGTCAATATCAGCGGTGGCCAACACCATGTACCAGTATTGGGATACCGTACTGAAATCTGGTGATCTAGAGAAACGACGGTCGGCTCAAATGTCAAGATGGATGTGGAATCATGTACAGGATGAACTGATGAAAGTATTCACAGAACACCCAAAAATTGCCCCAATGGCACCAGCTCTCGAAAAGGACGTTCGTGAAGGAAAAATCACACCCGGTTTAGCGTCTGAAATGCTGATTAGAACATTTTTGAATGTATAGTTTTCTACTGATCCTAATAACTTGTCATTTCCAATCGTTATAATAACATAATGGATCACATCGGTTGTCGAGTCCCTAGGTGGCGTAATTTTGTTAGCGAGGATTTACTATACATTTCTCATTATAGATTCTCTTGAGCTGTGAAAAGTGTTCATACTATGATTGCCGAGCTTCAGTGGTCCTTTCTTAGACAACGTTTAGGTCTGTGATGTAAAAATGCGAAATGTATACCTGTAGAGTAGATGATTTTATGTATTATCTATAACGATTTAATTTTGTGTAGGTATTATTGTTACAAGTACAGCTATGTCATTCTGGTGCCTGAGTTGACTACGAGTAGAAATGACAGCCTTAGTAAGAAAAAATGATATGAATAAATGATTATACTTCACTGACTTACTATGCAGTTAGTGTAGCTGGCACAGTATCACCAAGTATAAGAAAGGTAGCTATTTCCGCAGTAACTATTTGTAGGGTATTTGAGGGGGGGGGGGTATTAGCTTGATTAGTTTTGATATGCTCCATTTGAACCGTGGAAACTACCTATATATTTCTGGAGGTCTCCACTGCCTGATATGTTCTTCTAATTCTTTTTTACAGTCTTATCTGAAGAGAGTCCTATATTTCCTTCCTTTAGTTTTCAATATGCCCTCGAAATAGGCGCCGTTTTCTTTGGAATTTGCTCTACTTCCTCTTTCAATTGTCTCATGGCTGTTCTCTACTTTCAAATCGGCACTTCCTTTCAAGGTTCCAGCAGTCATTTGAAGATTTTGATGAAAAGAAGTTGTTTATCTCGTAGAGCTGACCCTGCCGCTTAACGACTATAGACCTTGCATTGTCCCTGGAACACCTGCTGGGCCAGATGTCTATCGCAAACGCTTGTATGGCGCTTGTTGTAAGCAATACATACTGTTCTCAACCAATACTAGGGTACCAAAAATTGCATTGGCTCTATTTGTGGCTGACATAAACTTTGTAAACAATATGCAAAGAATCGTTACTCTGCTCATGAAAGAAAAACCCTTGAGTTGTTCTGTTAGGCGAGTTTCCTTTGAGTTGTTGTCTTGTGTTTCTAACAAATACCGCGTTATTCCTTCGTGGAACCTTTCAAATCTCTGTAATTATTTGCTGCATAACTGAATGATTTGATCCGTTGTTCAGTGGTTGAGGAAATGTCCGGTTCAACCACTCGCTTTGCCATCGACTATGCGAAGAGGGTAGCCGGATGTAAAAAATGCAAACTGCAGTTGCCAAAAGGGGTTTGTCTGTTTCTCTGTTTTTTTTTCATTCTCGCAAAATCAGTAGTTGGAGTGAGCAGGAAATTTGTGGGCGTTCATTAATGTTGAGCCATTTAAAACATTCTCAGTCTAGTTGACGCGGCGATATGAATTATTAACTATGTCTTCTTATTCGCCCTAAGGCTGAGTCGTACACTTCATAAAAGGACCAGACCTTTGGTTTCGTAACCCTGTGGAGATAATTAGTTTATGGGTATGGTAAGTGCGGATCGCTTTACGACATGTATTGTCCACTTACTGTACTGCGGAGGTAACATTTAGTTGCTCTACAAGTTCGTGCTTCTTGTTTCTCGTATATTAAATTTGCAAAATTTTTGTTCCGTAGACTTCAGAGACTGTGACTGCACCTCTTAAATGTAGCAGGTAGTGATTTGCTACGAGCGTAGAGCGAGAGATTTTACCCTATACGTTTTCAAATAGACGCCCTTTAAAAATGTATTTAGTTGTATTATTTTTATTAGAAAACTGAAAAATTCAAAAATGCAAAAATAAAAATATACCAAATCTATTTGATATCTGGTTCTGTGACCAGACCACACGCTCTAACTTCGCCTACCTTTTCCTCCGAGTTGAACATCGTGTGGGGGTGGGGGTTAAGATTGAATGTCTAGAAAAACGTTAGATGCTCAAATTTTCTCAGGTTCCTCTTTCATTCGTGAAATTTCGCAAAAATTATCAAAAAGAAGCAAATCTAACACGACTTCCTCCCGTACTCGAACCACGACCCACAGAATAAGACAAATATGACCTCGCTTTCAAAATTGACCTTCCACCATCCCCAAATAAGACAGCTGGTTCCATTGACAAACCTCATAGCGACCTCCCCCTCGCGCTGGAACCAACTGAGCCAACGCACGTAGACCTCTCACGGCAACCTCGAGAGATTGCCAGATCTGGTCGGAATTCGACAGCATTCCGAGCATATCGTCAAAGTTCAGATATCTCTTAGCGATGGTAACGCGAATGATCTCAAGTGCTGCTGAAGAACCTCATAGGTTACTCAACTCATCGCAACATTTGGCCCAGGTTAGGTTCAAAATAGCGTTGCGCGGTTGCGAACGGCCCCAAAGAGCCTTGTTTTGAGGATTGTGCTCTTGGACACTTTGAAGAAACAGAACCGTCGCCCTCCATGTCAGGACATTTGATTCCCTCACTATGCACGGGTCTTACCATTAGTGGACTGCAACTGTCTTCTGCTGAGGTCAGTGGCACCGCTTTCTAACGGAAGTGTTGGTATTTTTATTATTTTATTTATAAGTTGATCTACCGCTTCTTCCCGGCGCATGTGATATACTCGAAATGAAATAAGGCGAGAAAGCTAGCACGAACTTGTTGAACAGCCTGAAGGGACTTTGTGTGCTTCAAGTCTTCTCGAAGTGGTTATAACTCTTCCATACTTTTAGTGGAATATCTCTAATTCTGAACCTTTCCCTTCAATGAAGTAGTATTTAGCAAGAGAAATGGCTAAAAAAATTTTGTAGCATCTGAGTTCTCTATTATTCAATTTCTAGAAACAGCCTTACAGTTGGCAGTTACAGGAAGTTCGTCTCGCAAAAATCACGCCGAATCCATTTGTGCAAAGGGAGGAAGGACCTCCACCAGACATGAAGATGTACTACCATCCCCACTGTTTATTCGAAATGTTCTTCAAGGCGAGAGCAAATACAAAAGTCATTGAGGGAGTAGAGGACATTGAAGGTATTGTTATTTCTTATCATTCATTATTTGTTCGTCTGGAATTTTTTGTCGTGGTCTTGAATAGCTTTTTTGGCAGTCTGGCGTGGTGAAGTGTCATGTGAAGTTGCTTACCACGCGCGTAGTTTGGGGACAGGATCCTGGGTCTTGCGTCGCCCGGGCTAACCAAGTTTTCCATCATTTGCGGGAGTATGGTTAATTGGCTACCAAACTGTTAGTCGGGCTATAAAAACATGAATTGTCGGGATGACTCATGCCAAGTTAATGTGTTAGCGCGAATTCGCATTCAACTATACCCACTGTAATCACGAATGGGAGTAGAATGCGTGGCGCATCTCCAAAACGGGACTGATCAACGCCGAATGCTTTACGCTTCCATGTTTTGCGGGATTTCTGTTGTTTTCAGGGTGGGACGATGTGAAAGAGGAGGATAAAGAGCCAATTCTGAAATTTATCGACGAGTTGAATGAGCTCGTGCCGAATAAAGGAGAAGGAGGAGCAAAACGAACACCGAAAAAGAAAGCGGACGACACGGCTTCACTGAAAAGGTAAGTGGTCTGCATTTGAATAGTCCTCAGTTTTCTGCCAAGGACTGCAGCACTTCAAAAACTGCAAACGTTAGTCTTAAAATATCTCCCTTTTTCTGAAATCAAAGCACTGCTGCGAACGATTTGCTTGGAGTACTGTAATGTTGTTATATTTTGTGATGTTGTCATGAAAAAAGAAAGTATAAAACAAACGTCTGTAATACGGCGGCGGAATCTCTAAACTTGGAA